AATTAAGTAAATTAATTGTAATTTAGTATAAATTATAACTAAATGTTGAAAAATTCACTGCATTTTCGCATTCAATCCCTTCACACAAAACAGTATGAATACAGTTTGAATCATATCTAAATCGCCATAAAATAATACTGATATTTATGCCATCATATTATATTTATTTGGGGTAAATAGTTTTTATATCTAATTAATAATTATAGTAAAATTTTTAAAAATAAATTAGTTAATAGTAACAACATACTTAGTAAAAGTTTTAAATTCATTCGAAAATATTTATAATTTTAGAAATTCGTTTAAGATAATATTATATATTTTAGTTGAATATATTTTATATAATTTTGTTTGTAAAGTTATTTGTAAGCTAATATCAATTTAGGATAATTTGTATAAAAATGAAGTTTTAATTATAGTTGCTTACAATAGCTTCCGGGTGCTATTTTGAGAGCAAGTAATTACTTTTTCAGATCTTTCTTCAACTAATTCATAAATTCTGTTCATAACATCAGGATCCTTTATAAACCATTGGTTACGGTTATCATCGCAATCGATATGATTGTAATAAAAATGGACTGAATTGTTGGTATGAGACGCGAAAAATCCTTTGAATGCCTTCTCATCCAAATAGGTCCACGTTTTTGGTAATTTGATACCACTTTCAATGTCTTCAGTAATAGCATACAAACTGACGGGTCGTCCCAAATGACTGAGCGATTGGCCATCAAATGAGGAACTATTCAGATATGCATTCTCTATGAAGCCCATCATAAGTGTATCGGTTGTGGGACTGAATGTCAACACATTTTCCTTTATATTTGTAATACTAGTCCCAGAAATCAGAATACCTTTTACGAAATTCAATCCATAGAAAGCGTTTTCACTAATTGTTGTCAATTTTTTGTCCCGAATATCGATATCATCCAAATTATTTAATCCATTGAAAGCATTGCTCGGAATTTGTGCTAAATTAGTGTTATTTAGAAATACATGAGTTATGTTTGATAATTGCCTAATCATAGCGAATATATCAGTGGCATTATGATCCAGGTTAGGTGTGTCCGAAATGGTGAGCCAACTCACCCGATCGGCCATCCCGTGAAAGGCGTTCCCATCGATCACTTTCAATGAGTGGTCGGAAAATATTTCAATGTTTTCGAAAGTAATGTCTCTCAATGTGTTGGCATTAATTCGTGGGACATTAGTGCCCCTCATAACCAAGTCTTCAAATGCCTTTTGATTTTGTGGTAGATTTTTCATGTTAGCAAATATGGGAGCAAGGTCAGTTATGGTGCTGGAGTTACAATTGAGGCCAATATTGAATTATTAGGATTCCAACAATAGCACGGCTCCAGTAGTTTATGATCCGGACAGTTGATAGGCTCCTGACACTTGCTTAACGTTATGGTCAATACAATCGCACATATTATCCGAACAAATATTTTGAATGAAAAATATTAAACTCTTAAAAATAAATGAAAAATTTATTATTTAATGTGCATTTTATATATTCTCAAATTTACCCTGATTAAATAACTCAATCAAAGTTATTTTGTAATCAATTTTAATTAGCGTTAAACTTTTTATGAATGCTAATTAACATGTAAATTTCACAATCAATTTCAATGCGACAAACTAATGAATTATTTAATTTGCTGTTTAACCAAGCTAATTACAAAATAATTAATCTAGCAAAATATTATCCGTACAAACATTTTGAATAAAAAAAATTTCTATTATTGAAAATAATATGAAATTTCTATTTAATCACTATTTTATATATTTTCAAACTAACACTGATAAATAAATTATATTATTTTGTAATCAATTCTAATTAGTATTAAACTATTTACAAAATACAATGTAAATTACACAATAGATTTTTATATAACAAATTAATGACTTATTTTATTGGCTGTTTATACACATTAATTGCAAATTATTTATCACAAATCTTTTCCCTTTAATTAAATAAATTGTATATTTCTACAATAGACCGGCCCGATAATCTTGAAGGGCCTTGATCAGGAAGTTGTAACCAAATATGAAAATTAAATGAATTAAAAACATTCAAAACTAAATAATAGACAAATCACGGGATCTTATAAATAACTAAATTCCAGATAACATATCGATAACTAATGTTTGGCCACGTGTTTGCTTTAAATACCATACATTTGATTCAAATGACAAATAAAAATAATTGTATAATGTTAAAGCCTATACCTTTTGTTTAATTTGCCGGTCAGGGGTTTGTTCAAACAAACTGAATACAGGGCATGAGATGAACCACTTGTTTAGCACAAGATTTTATAATCCTTTACTTGAAATCCCAGTTCAGATAAATCCCAGACTTTGTATGTTGGGCTCATATATGGGATAATTGGATAAACTAAAGTACAATATTTGCAGTCATTTTATGAATTTTTCAACATTTAGTTATAATTTATACTAAATTACAATTAATTTACTTAATTTATAAATAGGTTTAATTTTACGTTTTTCTTTAACCATATATTTAAAATTGACTTGTCCAGAAATTTGTTTTACAGTGTATACAATTTCTACTTTTTGACTTATTTATTGTTGCACTGACTTGTGTGCCAGCAAATGTGATTTCGATAATTGCAATAAACAATACACTCGTAAAACACATTTAATTGATCACAAAAATAATGTCCATTTAAGTGTGAGATACATTGTATGCGATTGTATTGCATACATGTATGTATGCGATTGGAGTGAATGTCACAAACAGTTTACAACAAAATATCATTTAAATGATCACAAAAAATATGTTCATTTGAAAGATAAGACGTTTACATGTAATGAAGAAAATTGTGGCAAAATATTCCCAACAAAAGTGAGACTCAATGGACACAAAATCATATATTGAGGCGAAAAGTCATTTATTTGTCATGAAAATGATTGTAATAAAGGATTTAATCGTAAATCATATTTTACTCAACATATGAATAGACATTTGAATAATAGACCCCATAAATGTACGTACAGTAATTGCCAAAAAGGTTTTGTGACTAAAAACGGAGCAAAAATGCATATAAAACAGACTAGAGCACATGTAATTGATTGTAAGCACTTGGTTTATATGACATAAAAAACAGTTCACAATAATCATAGCATTTAATGAATGATTTTGTGTCACATTTTGTAAACATATTTTTAATTTATAATCATATTTAATTTATTTTATAAATATATATATATGATGGAAAAAATCCAATAAATAATTTCACATTTTTAGTAAAAATCTAAAAGGTCTTAACATTTTAATTGCTTACACATACAGTACAGTATATCATTCAAAAGATTTTATAGTTATGACCTTTTAGAATTTTACTCAAAATATGAAATTATTCATTGGATTTGTTGTCTTACTTATATTAGTCAAAGAATTTATAAAAAGTATTGCCCCTTAAATAATTTCCAACCCATTTATAAAATAATTATATTTGAGTATGAGTTTTGAAAATGAGATCACCAATGTTGTAATATGGCCAATATTGGCCAAGATGCTACAGTCTGATATAAAATATATTCATTTGAAACAAAAACCATTCAAATGTAATGACAATTGTGGCAAAAGTTTCCAACAAAACTCATACCTAATTGCACACAAAGGCATACATTCTGGCGAAAAGCCATTTCGATATCATTTCAATGATTGAAATAAAAGCTTTATTACAAAATCAAATCTTAAATCTCATAAACAAACTGTACATTCAAATGGCAGGTCATTCACGTGTAATGAACATAATTGTGGAAAAGGTTTTCAAACAAAATCATATCTAAATCGACACAAAAGCATACTGAAAGACTATGTCTTTACACTTAGTATAGGGTGACCCCAGCGCCAACGGAATGGAGTATAACTAGAGTACTTCCAGTTCCACCGGCACTCCAGGTCCACCCGTTCCACAGTATACCTGTACTCGAAATTACTTGCAATTCTAAAAATTAATTAAGTCTTTCAAGTCTCTATATGTTTTCTAAAATACAGTATAAAAGGAATGTGCAAAGTTAAGGCACACAGCTTTTTGTTATTCAGTGAAAACCTCTGTAAAAACTCTTCTATCTTAGCATTCAATATGTGAACCAAAAACTTTTTCTAATAAAACTTTTAAAAAAACCCAAAAACTTTTTACTTTTTCCTTAAATAAGATACTGTAGACCCTGGTCCGAACCGCGCGAAAGGTCATGGTCTTTCAATACATTAGCTTAAATGATTGTAATGTTTAATAAACAGTTTGTCACAAATTGTACTCTCAGTAGATATAAGAAAACTGTTCATAAATTAAACAAATAAAATCATTTAAAATTGTTTTGATATTTATAACACAATTTGTTAGTACTAATTGAAAATTCTCATTAAATAACATATGATATATTGATTAAAAATGTTTGAAATATTTTTAGTAATTAATTTATAATTTTATTTAATACTTCAATTATTTGTTACAATAAATGTAAAGCATA